ATTTTGGGGGGGGGGGGTTAAACTACCACCTAGACAGATCATTTTCAAACACTCATTTCTATAGCAGCATTTTTAAGGTATGAAAGAGTAATTCCCTGCAAACCTCTGAGCCAATACTCACAACCAATGCTATAAAGAAAAGGAGTGTTTTGAGCGTGCTCAGATGCTTTTATTCTATGCTGCAATCTCAGCTATTTAAATATAAAAATGATTTCCATGATTCTAAGCACCCTATAGCATAAGGATTCGGGAGGGGAGAGAAATGTGTCTCACATCCTTACTAAGCTATGCTGTTTGCCAGCTGAGCCAGAAAAGTTGCATTTCCTTCATCCTGATCTACTTCATAGGATTGTTGTATTCTCTATTGCCCAAGAGGACTTAAGTTATAAGATTTAGCTAGAGAGCCTTTGGAAAAATGACTTGATGGTAAGAGCAGCTCAGCAATGGCGACCAGTGCCCTAAGGGTGGTGGCTTCTCTCTTGCTAGAGGTCTATAAGCAGAGGCAAACTAAGTGTGCTCTCATTCTGGACTTCCTACATTAAGCAGTTAGTGTTATTCAGGTCCCTTCCAGTTCTATGATTCTAAAACCACTTTCCAGAGACATAGGTCATAATATCATGTTTGCTGACTGGGAACGGTTGTGGACCACCGGTATGAAATTTACGGCATGTAATGCCCTAAGAGAAAATATTATGAAAATGACTTACAGGTGGTACATGACACCAGTCAAGCTTGCAAAGATTTATCATTTGCCTGATAATAAGTGTTGGAAATGTAAAGAAACTGAAGGAACATTCTTTCACCTTTGGTGGACGTGCCCAAGGATTAAGGCATTCTGGGAAATGATCTATAATGAACTGAAAAAGGTATTTAAGTATACTTTTCTGAAGAAACCAGAGGCCTTTCTCCTGGGCATAGTTGGCCAATTGGTGTCAAAGAAGGATAGAACTTTTTTTATGTACGCTACAGCAGCAGCAAGAATACTCATTGCAAAGCATTGGAAGACGCAAGATCTACCCACCCTGGAAGAATGGCAGACGCAAGTAATAGACTATATGGAACTGGCAGAAATGACCGGCAGAATCCGAGATCAAGGGGAGGAACAGCTCGAAGAGGACTGGAAAAAGTTTAAAGTCTATTTACAAAAATATTGTAAAATTTATGAATGCTGAAGGCTCTGAAAATGAAACGAAGGGGTTCTAGTGATTAAGATAAATAAGATTAACAAAGAGAAGGATAAAGGTTTAAAATGAATAATGAAAGATCTTGCTGAACTAATTTTTAAAATAGAATGCAAGAAGGGAAGGCGGGTAGAAGTAAAGAGAATAAGGTTTTGAAAGTTACTAATATGAAAGAGTGTTTTTTTATGGTAAATTTTTTCTTTTGTATTTTCTTTTTTCTGTTTTTTTTTTGTTTGGATTTTTGATGTTTGTTGTTTGTTTTTTGTAATCTTTGTTGATTTTTATTAATGTTGTTCTTTTTGTAAAACTCTAATAAAATATTATGATAAAAAAAATAAATAAAACCACTTTCCAGAACTCTGTGGGCAATGGCAAGATACAAATATGAACAATATTTCTTATAAGCCTTCACTGATCTGATCCTTTTCACTCATCGTGTCTGGCAGCAGCTGGAAAATTGCAGGCAAGTGAATTCACACCAGATGTGTTACTGCATCTCCAAGGAATGCCATGAGGAATGGCTGGGGAAAAAGCATCTTTTTCAAAACCATGTGTCTCAGTTAGGGATGTTAGAGATAGTCTGCATTTAAAGGCACATTTACCTATTTGCACTTCCTGAAACAGGACGCGAACCAGATACGAAGCAGACCTTCAAATTTTGCAATGAAGTTCTCCAGTCAAGTGGTGTGTACAAAATATGCATATACTGGGTAATGTATGCATAAAGATGCACATATTAGTGAAGGCAGCAGCGAACAATGCGTTAAATTATAGGAACCTGCTTTGCAAAAACATGCACTGGGCAAAAGTACAAGACGTGTATTTTAGAAGAAATTGGGTGAATTTTTGTGACTTACAAAAATTGCAAACTGATGTGGAAATGAAGAGAACGGAACTTAAGCGTGGAAAAACGGCAAAATGAAACAGAGATTCGTCCATCTCTAGTCTCCGTGGTGTAAATATTCCTTTGGGTGACCTTGGACAGTTGCCAATGGAGAGTCAAACCCCTTCCTTGCCCTCTATAGCTTGACCATCCCTAAATGCTTAGAGCCATGTTGACAGCCAGTGTGGAGGCTCCATGAGACAACTGCGCCATCCTCCAAAAGGAGACCTTAATTCTTGGCAACTTAAGGGAGCATTCAGCACCGTCCCCCATCTCTTGTTTGAATCTTGTGGCTGAACTGCTAGCCGAATGCTAACTCCGGTTGCCGGACATTTTCATGTACGAATGAAAAGGATAGAACTTTCACAACATTCAGTTCAGATACTTTGGAGGCTTTGCAAATGGAAGCGGTTCACACATCTGTGTTTGTGTGTGGTATGTAGGCTTCATTATAAGCATGATCATTCCCAACAGAAGATGAGAAGAGAACTGGCATAATAAGTGTCACTCCAGATAATAAGAGGCAGCATCCATGGTATGTACTGAAACCATCTAATGCACCATTATCTATTTACCATCCTGCAGGATTTAAAATTAAATGCTAGCTGCCTAATCAGTTCCAACTGAGTTTATTGATTAGGGCTCTGTCATCTGTCCACTGTGCTTGATGAGTCTAGAAGTGGCAGGTTTACCTTTCCACTGTTTATGCTCTAGGACATAATAAAGTATATGATGAAGGTAATCAATTACACGTCAACACAATTGTTGTTCTGAAGCAATCTGCTGGGACTCGTCTGGGAAAAATTATAACCTTGCGAAAATTAAGGAAGAGGCTAAGTTTCTCAGAGAAGTAATGACACTTCATTATATTTAATTTGGTTAGACATACGGATCAATATTTCCAGCATTCCAGGCATATTTGCCCATTTAAAAGATCCTCCCTGGTCCTCTTACAAGCAGATTTGTGTGTAAGACTTGGATCTGATTGTCCTATAATTGTGTTGTCAGACAGAGGTAGTCTAGAAGAACTTACAATTAAATACAGAAATAGCCTGAGCCACAACAGTGAATACACTTAAGTATTGATAGTTGCATCTACCTCAATTAAATGATCCATTAAGTTCACAGGTGCATAACCAAAGTTCTGCAAAACAAAAGTCTGCGCTAGCAAGTGTTAAGCACACAATGGCTTCTGTTCTGCGCAAAGATCCCGTTCTGGATCCCCCAAGCCAAGCACAATTCAGAGCACTGTCCTTAAGCTTTAAGTGAGGAATAAGAAACCTTTTTTTTTCCAGACCGAGGGCCAAATTCCATCCTGGACCACCTTCCAGGGGCCACATAACAGTGGAGCGCAGAGACAGAGGTAAAAATGGTTAGAGCAATGAGTGTAACTTTTATCTTTGTATATAGACTGGTTTCTATATTCACACATTCGTGCGCCCCTCTCTATCCCCCATCCAGACAAACAAGGGTTCAAGACACACTCTGGCCAGGCTGAGGAAAGTGTGTGCTCTGGGGAGAGTCCGAAAGGCCAGACAGAGAAGCGCAAATGGCCACATTTGGCCCCCTGGACCTAAGGTCCCCCAGCCCTGCTTTAAAGCAAAAATAGCTAAGGGTCTAAATGATTGCTTTTCCTCCCACACAAATCTGTCTGGGCAATAAGATCATCCTCTTAGGCCTGTCTGCAAGTCTGCATGCCATCAGGAGAAAGGGGCGTGGTGACCAGAAAGAGAGTTGATTCAGTTGTGACATCCTATCTTTGGTGTGGAATTCCCTCCCCAGGAAGGTTTCCCTGGCACTAACTCTGTTTTATTTTTATACTCAAGGGAATGCCTATTTTTCTTAATGCCAAAGCCATTTAGATTTATCAGTCTGTAACAGGGTTTTTTACCTGGGAATTTAATCTGCCCTGCTGCGTTGAGGCATCATTTCTAACCCTATGTTGTTGTATTTTGTTATTATCCCATCTAGGCCACTCCTAAAGTTGTTTGAATGGACTTCTGCTTCAAAGGTTTCGAAAAAATATTACAACATAGTCACACAATCATGTCTAAGCAAAAACTTGTAATCATGTCTAAGCAAAAACTGGCTTGTAATGTGATCTTAAACCACTCAGCCCCTTGGGTTTGCCGATCGGAAGGTTAGCAGCTCAAATCCCTGTGACAGGGTGAACTCCCGTTGCTCTGTCCCAGCTCCTGCCAACCTAGCAGTTTGAAAGCACACCAGTGCAAGTAGATAAATAGGTACCACTAGGGCAGAAAGGTAAATGCCATTTCCATATGCTCTGGTCTCCGTCACGGTGTTCCGTTGCACCAGAAGCAGTTTAGTCATGCTGGCCGCATGACCCGGAAAGCTGTCTGTGGACCAACGCTGGCTACCTTGGCCTGAAAGCAAGATGAGCGCCACAACCCCATAGTTGCCTTTGACTGGACTTAACTGTCCAGGGGTCCTTTACCTTTTTACCTTATTTGGTAATAGTAATAAATGTAGTGAAGTCTATTCATCCCCTACGCCAAGTCTACAAGCCTACACTGTCATTCAACACCCATCACTGTTCTCCATCATCTCCCCAAAGAGAGAAGATATTTGACTGTAAACTTCTCAGGGCAGGGACATTAGCATGTCCTGTGAAGTGTCATGTGCATTTCTATATGGCACTTGTTGATAATAATATACAGTGTACAACAATCTTCATTTTTCCCCATTAGACCTTTCCTTTTTCACACACACACACATTTAAAATACGAAATATTTTCCAACACATACCACATATATGAATAGGGGGATACAAATTTATTCCCCCTAATATTTGAACTATGGTTTGTATTATATTGGGGAAATGTTCTTGCTGGGATACCCCAAGCCACAGCTGGATTGCTTCTTACTTGCGTTCATTACATTTCGCACATTAGATGAAGAGTTAAAAGCACACCTACCTTAAAAAGTCGTAAAATATTAGCCACCATAATGGACACTGAACTTGCAGCTGCACCTATAACCCCTGTTATCTTGTCCGGCTTCGTGAAAATAGGTGGGTCTCCATTAGCACACTTCACGTCGGACCCGTCTTTCTCTATCAAGGCTTGCACAAATGTTAAAGACTGCTCCAAAGCATAGGTGTCCCTGGAGCAAGTGTCTAGTATCCGGACGCCTAAAGTGACATTGGCAAGGAGGTCAGGGTCCTTGTTGATCTGATCGATTGCATATAGCATTGCCTCGAGCCGATGGATGCCCTTTTCCTTCTTGAGCTCCCCACAAGGTACTCCTCTTTCCCCCTTTGCGTGGACAGGGAAAAGTCCCCCTAAGATGATATCTCCATCGAGTCGGATGGAGTGGGCATATTCCTGGCCGTGAGTTCCTCGCATCATCGGGAGCATCCAACACAATTTGGCTGCGAGTAGGAAGAAACAGTGGCCGGAGACTAGATGCTTGTCCTCGTATACCATTTTTCCGGAAGGTGTTGTTGCAATCCAAGACCCAGGTTCTTCTCTGGCTAGAGGTGAAGGTGGACGCTTTGAAACTGCCCCTTCTGAAGGCTACCATCAGTGCCCAATGAATCAGAAGATAGGACCATGCAGTAGGTAGAAAAGGAGGACAGTAGGGCGGTAGTTGCTTCTCAACAAAAGTCCTCAAGAAGCCTTTCACAAAAGGAATCCATTGGGGTGAACTTTTCCATGCGTTACCTTTGCTTGTGGAGTATTTTCAGCGATGGCAGACTGTCATTAGGGTAAAAGCATCCGATGCTGGGAGGAGATCAGCAGTTCACATCCTTGGATTATGTCCTGAGATGGAGACACTCCTGAAATATCAGGGGGGAAATATAGAAAACTGCTTAGTTCAGCTATCTTAATTTTGCTATTACACTATTATCATTTTCTGAAACAGAGTTTATTGCTGAGGTTTTACCCTTCATTTCCTCCAGAGATATTAACTGGTTGCTCTTTGTCAATATACACACATTCCATTACTTGGAAACATTAGTTTCAGGGGGCAACTGAAGGGGCGGCTCAAACATCTCCTCTGCGGGTAGAATTTCAAGCGCAGATGCACTTTTAGCTCACGTGTCTCAGAGGGGAATGAAGGGAAATCTGCCACTTCAGATACTACCCAGTAGTATCTGAAGTCTACTTTTTGGCACAAGTCTACGATGTCCGACACTACAATTCTATGATTCCATGATTACCCCTGAGAGAGCAAGGCAGCGATTACATTAGCAGAGCTGAAGCGACAGCAGAAGCTCAACTCAACAAGGTCTGAACCGACATTTCTATTGCATTCTATTCTTTGCATTCTATTCCTTTGGGTTGCAGGTATATAAGCTTTGAAACATAGCGCTCATGCTGTTGAGATAATGCACATCCTTTATGTTTGCAAAACTGCATCAGCTTAAGGGAATTTCTGCCCGATCATGTTCCTAAGGAAAAGACTGTATAATCTTATTGCTATTCCACCGCATTGTCCTATACTTTCATTCTTCTGCCTACATCTGTTTTCTGTGAGGCAAAAAATTGGCAAACATATCTATTTCCCAAAGCTTTCCCTGGCCTCTGACACCAGTGGAATGATGATTACTGGCTACTGTAATTGAATTCATAGTGAAATGTTTTTATTGTATATTTGATTGGGGGAGGTGTTGAAATGGTTTTGTATTTTTTTGTTTTTTACTGCACACGCCCTTGGTATTATTTTAATGAGAAGTGATATATTATCAGTGATGTGATATTTATTATTAGCGTGGATTACAGAGCCAGTGCAGCATAATAGTTAAGTGTATAGGATGAGGACCTGGAAGACCAAAGTTCAAACCTCCACCCAGTCATAGAACTCACTAGGAGGCCTTGGGCTAGTCACTCAATCACAGCCTGACCTATCTCACGGGGTTGCTGTGAGGATAAAGTAGGAATGAGGAGACTTATGTACAGTGGTACCTCAGGTTACATACGCTTCAGGTTACATACGCTTCAGGTTACACACTCTGCTAACCCAGAAATAGTGCATCAGGTTAAGAACTTTGCTTCAGGATCAGAACAGAAATCGGGCTCCGGCGGCGTGGCAGCAGCAGGAGGCCCAATTAGCTAAAGTAGTGCTTCAGGTTAAGAACAGTTTCAGGTTAAGAACGGACCTCCGGAAAGAATTAAGTACTTAACCCGAGGTACCACTGTATTCCACCTTGAGCTCCCTGGAGGAAAGATGGGAGGTATAAATGTAATAAATAAATAAATGAAAATTACCCCCCACAAAAAAAGAAGAAATGAATTTCACCAGCGCTGCTCCACTGACCCAAGCTATTTCACTCATTCAATATTCCTGCTAGGAATTTGTAGAAATGGCGTAACTCCAGGACTTTCAACACTGCCATAAAAACAGTACTTGATCCTGTCCGTTTCTTGTCCTGCATGGCAGATTAGAGGATCAAGCGCCATAAAAGCTAAATCTTCCATCAGGTTTGGGTTTTATGTTCACAGCTGAAAACTAAAAGCTACTTTGGGGTGGCTGTAAAGAATTAACTGTATATCATATGAAATTGTATTTGTAGTATAAGTGGATTGGACAAATTCCTGGAGGATAAGGCTTTCAACAGCCACCAGCTTATTTGTTCCATCTCCCCTGTCAGAGGCATTAAGCCTCCAGAGGCCATTTGCTGCAAATCACAGGGCCCACCTGACATCTTTGCTGGCTGTTGTAAGAACATGATCCTGGTCTGGCTGAGCCACTGGCTTGATCCAGTAGGCTCATCTTATGTCTACCTCAAGGGTTTGGGAAGGGGACTCACTGTGTAAAGAAACCATATTGAAACCACTGCAATATTACGGCTTCCCATGTGGACGGAAATGCAACATGGTTGAAGGAAAATGGAAGCCATCTTGTATGGAGCGTCTCCACCCCCATCATCCAGCCCGGACACTGAGGTCCAGCGCCGAGGGCCTTCTGGCGGCTCCCTCACTGTGAGAAGTGAGGTTACAGAGAACCAGGCAGAGGACCTTCTCAATAGTGGCGCCCGCCCTGTGGAACACCCTCCCAGAAGATGTTAAGGCAATAAACAACTATTTTACTTTTAAAAGACAACTGAAGGCAGCCCTGTTTAAGGAATTTTTAAGTGTCTGATGCTGTATTGTTTTTAATATTCAGTTGGAAGCCGCCCAGAGTGGCTGGGGAAACCCAGCCAGATGGGTGGGGTATAAATAATAAATTGTTATTGTTGTTGTTGTTGTTGTTAAGTATATGACTGCTAATTATGTTACCTCTATAGGTGATCTATAGTTCTTTGAGAGATGTCACTCTCCTCACTTTACAGATATAGAACTTAAGGTTGTGTTCTTCCACTGCCTTAATAAGATTGAGGTTTGCCCAAACTGCAGGAGGCAGTGGAAGATAGGAGTGCCTGGAGTGCTCTGGTCCATGGGGTCACGAAGAGTCGGACACAACTAAATGACTAAACAACAACAACTGTTTCCGGTGGGCGAGCAGCACAGACATATGAAGAAATCATGCTATCCCATACCCTCCAATATTTCTCTGGTGAAAATAGGGAGATCCTATTCCACAGCAGCAGCAACAACAACAACAACAGCTTCTTTACTATTTGTACCCGGCCCATCTGACTGGGTTGCCCCAGCCACTCTGGGCAGCTTCCAATATATATAACAACATAATAAAACATTAAACATAAAAGGCTTCCCTATACAGAGCTGTCCTCAGACGGCTCAGGGGTTGGATAACTTCATGCCCTCCAATATTTCTCTGATGAAAATAGGGATGTGCTAAGGAAAGGCAGGATATTCTGGAATCAAATCAGAAACCATAAAGGCTTCTGTAAATCTAGGACTGTCTGGAAAATAGGGAACTTTGGAAGGTCTGTGATCCATCTTTCCCACATCACTTCTCATGTTCTAGCACAGGCATGTCCAAAGTCCATTTCGGGGGCCTAATCCAGCCCTCTAGTTGGTTTAATAGACTGACCCTTGTGGCAGTCTATCTCCTGGGGTAAAAAAAACCTCAACAACTTTAATCCTAAAAAAAGCTCAATAACTTCATTCCTTAAAAAAGGCCAACAACTTTGGTCAGCCCTCATGTATTTTTATTATTATAATTAAATCTTTATTATTTTAAAAAATATATACATTTATACAACACTGTCTGGTTTTGTTTGTAACAAAAAAGAAAATGATAGCAACTGAAGCAAGGATACTTTGTATACCTCACAATACACATGACACTACAATTTATGAAAAAAGGGGAAAGGGGGGGGGAGGGGAAAAAAGAAAAAGAAAAAAAATTAAGAAGAAAAAGTAGTTGAGGTTTTAAAAAAGACTTCCAAACATTCTCATTGTATGTTATCTGTTAAATGAACTTTTACCTCACAGTTACTTATTTCTTTTATTTTTTATCATATTTCTATGTAAATTGTCAATTACCTTTATATACTACAAGGCTCAGTCTAGGTCTGCCAGGAGATTACCCTTTATACCATGGTTCTTCAAATATTCTTTAAATATTCTCCATTCCTTGTGAACTTTTTGTTTTGTTTGGCCTCTAACTCTTCCCGTCACCTTTGCTAGCTGCAAGTATTCTACCACGAATGTTTGCCAGTCTGCAATATTAGGTGTTTTGGTATTTTCCCAATTTCTTGCCACTAAAATTTTAGTGGCCCTCATGCGTGTTCACTTCATCAAATATCAAATCTGGCCCTCTTTGAAAAAAGCTTGTTATAGCATTGCTGCAGTGGCATGATAAGGTGCTGTGTGGAAGCAACTGCAAGGACTCAACTAAGGAAGGTGAATAAACTGGACAATACAATGTTCTGGAATTTTAAAATTGGCCAGAACTTTATTGATTCCAGGTAGGATTCGGCTTAGGCATTGGGTGTACAGTGGTACCTCGGCTTAAGAACTTTCTGGAGGTCTGTTCTCAACCTGAAACTGTTCTTAACCTGAGGTACCACTTTAGCTAATGGGGCCTCCTGCTGCCACCGCGATATTTCTATTCTCATCCTGAAGTAAAGTTCTTAACCCGTGGTACTATTTCTGGGTTAGCGGAGTCTGTAACCTGAAAAGTCTGTAACCTGAAGCGTCTGTAACCTAAGGTACCACTGTATATTCTTCTCAGCCTCCTGATGGAGGGCTGAGGCATGACAGGGATTAATGGGTTATCCACAACATGCAAAGTTAGCAACCAGGAGAATCCCCCAACTGCTGGCTAACTGTCCAGGGACTGGGGCCTCCTGAAATAGGTCACAACCACCGCCCACCACAAAATTGGGTAAGCAGTCCTTTTTGCAATTTAAGAACGACACCCAAATTTCAGCGCCAAAGCCCAGTTGATAGCCAAACGTAGGATGTAAATCTAAAATATGAACCAAGCAACCAAAATATGATTTGACTCATTAGCAAAACAATGTGATTCCATGCCCCGGCCCCACAGTTTAACCACTCACATGACCTATTTCCCAAGTTACCACCTCTCAGTGAATCCTGTTTGGGTTTCGAATATTCCACCAGTTAAAACTTAATAGGGCATAGACCTAACAGGAGAAGTATAAATGGATGAGCATTTCAAAGCTTGTGAAAATGAGTCAGGCTGAAATCTCCTGTGTTCACGGTAAAAATATCTCACTGTGATACCAAAATAAAGACTTGAAAATGAAACAGAGAGAAGCAGTGTGAACGAGAGAGTGTACCTATTAGAAGTATCAGGGATCAGGGTTGTGTGAAGCACAAGGAAATATATATATATATATATATATATATATATATATATATATATGCAGGTTTTGGTGTCCTCGGGTGTCTTCCCGTGTAA